CGGAAGCCTGTACGCTTTTGAAACGTCAGGAAAGTAAAACTATGGTTCCCGTAGCAGATACGCGTACTACGAGCTGTTGGAGGACACATTCGTCCGTCCATGTTGCTATTAGAGCTCTCACTCGAGCCTCCACCGCGAGGCGGCATGGATATAAGCAGAAGGACATTACCAGCAAAGACATGAGACACTAGGACGGCCTCTTCTGCTTCATTAGGCGTCATTGGTTACTGATACCTAACCCCAGTGTGACCGCGGAAATTGCTGCCACACCGAAATTTGAACTCGCGATCTCACCTATCAGACGCCAACGTCCTAACCATTAAGCTATCGACCTTGCCGTCTTGTCGGTATTAGATCGTGGATATACAGTAGGAGATACGCGTACACCGATCTGATAGAGGACACTCTCGTCCGTCCATGTTGCCATTAGAGCTCTTACTCGGGCCATGGTCATCGTAATGTCCCATGTCTTTGTCGGAAATGTCCTTCTGCCTATATCCTAGACGTCCTGCGGTGAAGGCTCAAACAGGTTTCAAGTGAACGGGATCTCCCTTAGGCGGGGCTCCAGTACGAGGAAGCCCGGAGCAAAGCCACATTGCGGCGTACCTTGACCAGCCCTCAGTCGTCTACTGCGAGAGGACTTACAGGAAAACTCCATTAAGAGTATGTGGCTTCGGACTCATAGATACTTCCATTAATTCCGTTGCGGACGCTAGGATGGTCTAGGAAAATTATCATAAATATGGTCCATCCTTGGGATAGTACGCCTTCATAAAGTCAGAACATGAAAAGTATAATAATTTAGCATTTAATTTTTTCGGATACTCCGGATCTTGGACCTCTTCATGCTCCTTAAGGGATTGAAGAACTTCTACAAAAGTGTTCAATGTAGAATAATGTTTATTTTTTGTTAATACTGGTGTGAAGAGACATAATATGTACAGGATGCTGAAATACCTCCGCAACCGTCGAATAACGTAGTGAGTAGGCTTGCAAAACCCGTCGCTAGTGGAAACATTTGTATCCAAACGGAGATCTCAAATTATTCCTTAACGTATTTTCATCGATAGCGACCGTTTCTTGCTGCATCCGAACACTTCCAAACGGATCTATGGGACAAACTTCCCATAAGGTTCTTAAGAAGGTTAGTTCTCACACCACAGCAACTGTTACTGAAATGTAGGTCTATAACGGTATGCTGCTTGGCCTACGTAGGACGTATGTCAAAAAGGCAAAATATTTAATTCATCTAACTTTGTTTCATTTACAAAACCAATATACTTTTTAGAAAAATGCGTTTATTAAAAAACCTTTAAAATACTTGAAAATATTTTTAGGAGAAAACTTCTGCATATACCTATGGTAATTCCTCAAGTGTGAATGCCAGGCTTTCAGTTAACCAGATATCCCGGATAAAGTTGCCTTCTAAATTCAACTATGCGCCAACCATGTGGCCAAATTTCTGTCCTAATAATTCAATGATGAAACTGTCTAGGCTTTATCTTGTAGAAAACAGCATTTTAACGTGTAGTGATCCATCCTCGAGCATGCGGGTCGCGTTCCAGAACCAAAAAGTAAAATCCATCACCGTAGCCAAACCATTTCCCACACTGTTATGCAGCGCAAACCTTATCTTAGACAGTATTTAAGATTTTTCTAAATTATGTAAACACACTTGTTCTACACAAAGTATCGTATTTCTTGTAAGCAGAGCCATTTTCAAAGAACAACGGATCAAATTACCTTTAGGTGGTACACAACGATTGAGGCGTCGATTTCGATGTTCAGTTTGGCCTTTTCTGTCGTCACGAATGTGTTTGCCAGGTCGACTCGAGCACTGATTTTCCCCTTGCTGAGCTTAAAAAGCAAAATAAGGCCGAATTATGCAAACAGGAGAGGGGAAAGAAGCCAGTCTTTTGTATATTCAAAAGGCCTATTTGCGCCTTAATTTAGATCACTTGGTTGGTGAGGTTGTTGCCCTGGGTCTACAGAGGACTTGGTGCTTTTTGTGAGATAAAAAAAGAGAGTTGTCTATGACTACGCTGGTCAGATGCAATAAGCCGTCGTGCCCAACAAAGACTGCACTAGGAGAAGTTGTTAGGGGAACTTCACTAGCCTGCTAGTGTGTTGTGTGCTAGTTGTGCTTCCGGTCGCAAGTATTGTTCTGTGTGCATGACTGGTCAATGAAAAAAATAAAGTCCCAGCACATCCTGTTAAGATTTGATTGATCTTTTCGTAAACACAGAGATATATATCGCGTTTATTATCTCCCAAAGGTAAGGAAGAAGAAGAGGGGGCAGGTTCATGGTCCATGAACCCGCCCCCTCTTCTTCTTCCCTACCTTCGGGAGATGATGAACGCGATAGCATATCTGGACCCCGAATCTTTCGGCATTTAAAGGTATATATAGTGGCAGATACGCGTGCACCGATCTGTTAGAGGATACCCTCGTCCCCAAAATTTAGCGAAAGATC